TTTTTTTTTTTTTTTTTTTTCTGATGTTATCTGTCAACAAAACTGCTACTTCTCCAATGATGATAATCAGCAGCAATTTATTAATAGTAATAAATGTATAAATCTAATCAGAAGCTGTTGTAACGATGGTGAACCATTTGGTATTTTTATGTAGTAATTATTACGACAATTAATGCTTGATTTATTTAGCAAATTGAATTAAAAATTTTGTAGTTAATTGTTGGTGCCATTTTTAGTTGTTACTGTTGCTACTCCTAAAGTTGTAGATGGTTTAGGAAGAAGAAAAGATGATGATGATGATGGTATGATAAAAGCGACAGAAAGAAAAAAAAAAGCAGAAATTTTGTTCTTGAACAGTAACAGAATTTTTCCTTATTCTATAAAAATTCTACGTATTTTTTTCCTTTTTTTTGTCATTTTTAGTCAAATAAGCACAGGCAGACAGCTGTAAAAAATGGTCAAAAGCATTAGTGTGTTCATTAGTGACAGCCGGGGACAGTCTCTCGAGACAGTTGGCCTCCAATGGGCAGCAAGCCATATTACTGTTTTGTGCTATGCGCCTTTTTCGAAAAAGAAAAAAAAAACACCTTTCCACAACGCAAATGTTTAGTAACTTTCTTTTTTCCGCTTTTTTTCTTTCTATTTTCATTCAATTTGCTGCTCCTGTTACCGCTGTTATTTGTTACTGTAAACAAACAGCTGATACTTATAATACTGTTAGTAGTAACAGTAATAGTAATAATGATAGTAATAATAATAATCACATTTTTCTCCCACTATATGAAACACTTAATTAACTTTGTTCCTTAATTGAACACTTCTTTCTGCTCTTTTTATTCCTTAATTCGACTTAGTTTTTCATGATTTTGATATGTATAGGTTTTTGTTGGGATTTTCTATGGCCGTTTATCGTCTTTTATGTATCTTTTCATTTTACAACAATTTATTTTCGTTCCTGCTACTTCCTCTGTCTTACTCTCCCCGCTCCGTCCATACGGCTTCGCTATTGGCGCTACTGATGGTGATAATGACGGTGATATCAATGTTATTAATGATACTGTTGAAGATGGTGTTTCTGTTGATGATTACATATTATCTAGGTTAGTTGGCTGACAGATGACAACAGCTGAACAGCCTGTAATTTTGGCTTTTCACTAATATATCATCGATGACGAATTGTTGCTGTTGCCTGTTTGTCTAGTGACAGCATTACCAAAAATAAGCTAGCAGTTGTAGATTTAATAAATGCTAGTAGTGGCACTGATGATCATAACGGTAATAATAATAATAGTAATAATAATAATAATAGTAACATTAGCAGTAGTTGTAGAGATAACTTTAATCTGTAACATATGAATGAGGAAGAAAAAAATTTGTGAAAAAAGCATCGGTAAAAAATCATGTTTGTAACATAAATTTTTTACTCCCTTTGGGTTTGCTCATCTTCCCTTTCCCACTTTACTCCAATTCTTCACCCTTTTTTCATTTTTGCTATTCTTGTGCTTGAATAAAAACCTGAAGCAGGAAGAAAAAGAGAAGAAAAAGCCGGAAATGAAAGCATCTAAAACGACAAACATTTCTTTTTTTCGTCC